TCAAATAAATATCTCTCGACCTCTCTTTTCTCTCTATTGATTCTATCGCTCGCTCTACGCAGATACATACGTATATCTCTCTATCTATCTTCACGCCTTGTGTCTCTGTCCGATCTCAAAAAGGTAAACGATGCAATTTTTAGGGTTTTTAAACTCGTTGAATTTCTTCGATTCGTGTCACGAATTTCTGGGTTTTCCGTAGATGTACTCTTTTTTTGAATTCGAGTTGGTAGCTAGGGTTGTTGTTCTGTGATGCTCTTTGCAAATTTTGATGTTGAACATTTTCCTAATGTTTGCGTGATTCTATTGGCATTTCTGTTGTTATATTCGTTTTCTTCTCCTCCTTTGATAATATGCTCTTCTCCGAAGACTGGACTTTTGTATTCGTATTCGTATTCGGGAGATTCGATTATGATATTTGAAGTTCTCAGCTTGCTATTAATTTCATGGATTTGTGTGCTTGCTCTAACTGGAACCTATCTTGTGATATTCCAGGAATTTGTATTCGATTTAAAGAAATATTAAGTAAAGGGAGCAGCTTTTATAGGATTTGATTTTAGATATAGAAGGATTTTGCAAGCTAGTTTTTTGTGGTTTTAGGGAGGTGCTACGTTTCCAATTATGAGTGCATCATGGGCTGATGTTGCTGACTCAGAGAACACGGGTTCTGGGTCGACTAGTCAGAATTCTCATCCGTCACGACCTGCTTATGTTCCTCCACATTTAAGGAACAGGCAAGCAGCTTCTGAGCCTGTTGCTCCTCCATTGCCAGGGAATGATCGTGTTGGTTATGGTGGTCCACCTTCTGGGTCTCGATGGGCTCCTCCTGGTGCTAATGGTGCCGGTGGTGCTTATAGGGCTGATACAGGTCGCCCTGGCTCTGGCTATGGATATGGTGGACGAGGAGGTGGTGGTTGGAACAATAGAAGTGGAGGGTGGGATCGTAGGGAACGTGAAGTAAATCCCTTTGATGATGATGAGGCTGAAACAGAACCAGCCTTTACTGAGCAGGATAATACGGTCATTAATTTTGATGCTTATGAAGATATTCCAATTGAAACCAGTGGGGATAATGTACCTCCTCCTGTGAACACATTCGCTGAGATAGATCTTGGGGAGGCATTGAATCTAAATATCCGTAGGTGCAAGTATGTAAAGCCAACACCCGTACAGCGTCACGCGATCCCAATATTGCTTGAAGGGAGGGATTTGATGGCCTGTGCTCAGACAGGGTCTGGGAAGACAGCTGCTTTTTGCTTTCCGATAATTAGTGGAATAATGAAAGATCAGCATTTACAGAGACCCCGTGGTTCACGGACAGTATACCCTCTTGCAGTCATTCTCTCACCAACAAGGGAGTTGGCAAGTCAGGTTCGGGTTCTATTTCCTATGTTAAGATTCTATTCGCTTTGATATAAGTCAGTTTCTCATATCTTTTTCTGTGATTTTTGGCAGATACATGATGAGGCTAAAAAATTCTCCTACCAAACTGGTGTGAAGGTTGTTGTTGCTTATGGAGGAACGCCTATTAACCAGCAGGTATAACTAATGTGTTTCTTCTTGTGACGTGTGAATTTTGTTTCATACATCTGTCTCTGCTGTCTGTATTATGTTCTGTCTCTTAGACTTGTTGTTTGGGCTTTCCTTTCTAAGGTTTGTCAAACACGGTTTGGTTTTGGAATTGACATGTTTTCTACTTGAGAAGGATTTATCAATATTTGACATTTAGAAGCGTTGGTAGATTTTCATATGTTATAATCTGTTGTCAAACATCAAAGTTGTTGATCTCGCGTCTTGTTGTTTGTGCAGCTCCGGGAACTTGAGAGGGGAGTCGATATTCTTGTGGCAACTCCTGGTCGATTAAATGATTTGCTCGAGAGAGCTAGAGTCTCGATGCAGATGATTAGATTTTTAGCTCTTGATGAGGCCGACAGAATGCTGGACATGGGTTTTGAACCACAAATTAGAAAGATTGTCGAACAAATGGATATGCCCCCACGTGGAGTTAGACAGACACTATTGTTTAGTGCTACTTTTCCAAGAGAGATTCAGGTTGGTTTACTTGTTTGTAAATCACTTTTTCTTGATTCACCTTTTCGTTGGTTGAAATATCATTTTTTGGGAACTTTGTCACTTGCTGGTTACCGTTGCTTTGCTCCAAAGTTCCTATCTAAGTTTCTTTGCCATGTGTGTTTGTGTTCCATACTATTTCCTTGCAAATTATCTGCTAGTTACATTTTCTATATTCTGCGCCCAGTTAAATTCTTGTTTTTCTCTGGCAAGAACAACGGGAAAGAGAAATGGTCTAGCATAAGCTGAAACTGTATGTGATATTGGTAAATAATGAACAACGCTATATGCATGGTTTTTCTGCAGAACAATATCTTTTTCTAAGAAAGATTTTCTTGTTGTAAAGCTGATTGCATGACTTTTAGTCCTGCTATGATCCTAGCTAATGGGAAAGTCCATTTGTTTTCATGAAATGATAGGCAATACCAGTTAACTCACATGATATTGATAGTTCTCTGTGTCAGAGCATTTCAATGCTACTTCTTTGACGAATGATGGTCAACTTGTTGTGGCAAGCGTTAGAGTTATTAAGTTTCATGCCTCTGTTTCTTGTGTGAATAAAGCTGCATTTACAAGAATGTTTCTTTGTTCACCTAATCATTTGCAAATTTTAGAAGATTAACATATATGTTTCTTGTGCAGAGACTCGCAGCTGACTTCCTAGCAAATTATATATTTTTGGCTGTGGGTAGAGTGGGTTCAAGTACTGATTTAATTGTCCAAAGGGTAGAGTTTGTCCTTGATTCTGACAAGAGAAGTCATCTCATGGACCTCCTTCACGCTCAGAGAGAGAACGGCGTCCAAGGCAAGGTAAAAATGATACTCCTCTTTTTCTTGGAATGGATCAGCTGTTGTTTACGTAGTTCGTTTTTCGGCCTGCTTTGTCATACTTCTGATGATTGTATCCTGTTCCATAATTACAGCAAGCCCTGACCTTAGTTTTTGTGGAGACAAAGAGAGGAGCTGACTCTTTGGAAAACTGGTTGTGCATGAATGGGTTTCCAGCAACCTCCATTCACGGTGACAGAACACAGCAGGTTTGTTAATTTGTTTGAAATCTGGAGGAAAGTGTTGAGCTTGAAGATAGTTTGGTCTAGATTTACTAAGTTATGTTGTGTTGTTACATGTGCATTGAAGGAAAGAGAAGTTGCACTGAAGTCCTTCAAGAGTKGGAGAACACCGATTTTGGTTGCAACGGATGTAGCAGCACGTGGTCTTGACATCCCCCACGTGGCTCACGTTGTGAACTTTGACCTACCAAATGACATTGATGACTACGTCCACCGTATTGGACGAACAGGACGTGCTGGCAAATCAGGACTAGCCACTGCCTTCTTCAACGATGGTAACACTTCAATGGCCAGACCGCTTGCTGAGCTGATGCAAGAAGCTAACCAGGAAGTCCCTGCGTGGCTCACACGATATGCATCGCGTTCCTCTTTTGGTGGTGGTAAGAACCGACGGTCTGGTGGTCGATTTGGTGGCCGCGACTTTAGAAGGGAAGGGTCTTACAGTA